ACACACACACACACACACACACACACACACACACACACACACACACACACACACACACACACACACACACACACACACACACACACACTTGCAGGCCTCAAGGACTTCTTCAGCTGAAACCAATTGTGAAAGAAGGTGATAGAGGAGCCGCCCCCAGAATGTGTGTGTCTATTTGTGTGTGCCTGTATTTTTTCCTTCTTCTTCTTCTTCTTTTTTTGAGTGCACCTCACGTGTCTGAACGTTTGTATAGAAATCCTGCAGCATATGAAGAGGTTAAGAAAGCTGATTAAAATTCATCTGTGTGCGTGGTGAGGAGAAGGGGATTAATAAAGCAGCAAGGCCGTTCATCTGGCTATGAGGGGAAGGGAAAGGCGGAGGGGTGGGGGGCAAGGCCTGGAGAGTGCCAGCGCCGGAGGGAAACCAATTCAAAGTTATCAGGCGAGAGACAGTCACCATCACACCCGAGAGCTGGGAAGGGTATCCAGGATTACACAGACTCCAGTAGAGTCAGAAAGGGCTGGTTAGAAGAGGGAAGATGGCTTCACTGTGAAAGTTACCGAGTAGAATTACATGCGAGATTATGCAGTTAATGCAGGAGCCGGTCAGCACAATGTTATATTGTTACGTCCTCGTGTAACAAGTGCTGTGACACACTAATTTATAATATATTTACACACATGTACAGTAGAAGCGACTGTGAACTGTGAAGTATCTGATCCCAAACTTGATGAGATTCAGTCACCACAGTTACAAACCAGGCAGGTGGTCAAAATACAGAGAGGCACTATTATGACCCTGAGTAAACCTCACTAAGTTTGTAACATTATTTTTTATTTTTTTTAAAGATTGTAGCAACCGAGCTGATATGTGAAACAGTATCTTACCCAATAACCTCACTATGACACTTTAGAGCTCCACTGGCTGCTGTCATTTGACAACCACACCATATTTACAGCGACTCTAACCTAAATTGGGTGAAAGACAAAACACAACTCCTATGAGAGAGAAGAACTGCAAAGACATGCATGCACGGTTAGTGAAACCATCAATGATGCACCACTATCACAGTAAAACAGGATGCTGCATCACATACAGACACCACAACGGCCAAATCAATGTCATTATGAGAGCAACGAGTACAGGGCTCACAACAATCAGTAACTTTTACAGACGCAGCAAAAAGGCAAAGACGCCAGGCGCAGAATAGCACACTCGGCCGTAGCAGCTGCACTGCCTAACTGCACACACACACACACACACACACACACACACACACACACACACACACACACACACACACACACACACACACGCAGAGTCAAAGGCACAGACAGGCCACTTGATCTGAACATCATACACGCCAGCAGCACCGATCTAATGTAAGCAATGACAATAACTCAAGCACAGCCAGTAACAGGCTGCTGTGTGCTTCTTTATTTCAGCACTGTGGACAGCGCGGGGACATTTAAGCACAACCCGCCTTGCTTGCACCTAAAATACAATTTCTTATACGAAAAAAAGCAGTCGAACTTTACAAAGGCGTCTGAGATGATTCTCAGTGGAGGAGACATGAAGTCCATGCCATCTTATTTTTCTGAACAAACATACATGATCCCTGTTGTCTAAAGTAGGCTGCCACCTGTTTAGGCCTCTGTGTGTGCTGGATAAGTGTGTAAATCTTTGCTGAAAAGCACAACAGCTATAGTACGATGTGTTTTTGTGCAAAGACATGAAGATAGCTTTCAGATATTGTTCGTCATATGTCAGTGGAGTTGAAGAAGCTGTGAGGTCCTGGGCTAAATGGAGACAAAGCAGGCTTGCACCAGTGTTCAGGCTCTTAATGTTTACCACGTCGATTAAATTAGAGCTTCCTTTTGTCCAGAAACATGAATATATCGGTATTTTTCCTCTTTTCTGCCTGCATGGTTTACCTTCTCTCAGTCTCACCATGGCTAAGCGTCTCTCAGCAGTTCCATTAACTTCCACGTTTACTTGTTAGACCTGATATGTGCCCATTTTTCAGTACTGCCCTTTTCTGCAAGTGTCCCACCCTCCTTTCTATGTCCTTCTACTAAGCATGCCATGCTATCTCTTTTACTAGTGTGCATTAAAAATATCTTTTGATAAAGGAAAAACAAATTCAGATTCTTCAGAACAACATCAAAGGATTGAAATGTAAAGTTTGACGTAACGCTACGCGGTTGGCAAACGTTACCTTTTCCTTTCATTCAAAAAGAGAACTGCTAGCAGGCGGCCCCTAAACCTCCTCCGCCTTTGTTTGTGAAGACTTGAAATCTGATTAATGTGATATTTAAATACAGTTTAAAATTTCTAAACCTTTCATATATTCTAGGCCTTACCTTATATACCGCCCACTTATGGATCGTAAAGGAACTTCAGACAGTAAAGGGAAAGGAAGAATTTGTTACATACTGAAATAAATAAAATAAGTGAATAAAAAATAGATAAACTTTACTAGTTAAAGGTTCTTAATGTAAAGATTTTTTTGTTAATAACGTGCGGAGTAACAGATACAAATTACAAAACAGCATTTGTCCTTATCAATTAAACACACTCCTTCCTGTTTAGTGAAACAATGTTGCATAAAGTTGCATCCAGCTGAATAAACTTACACTTTGAGTAAATTATTAAAATTTATATTTTGATGTATTTTCATATGTGCAATATTTTGCTATAAACTTTCAAAAACATTTGTTCTTGATTTAAAAATATACAGTCGTGACCAGCGTTGCACTGTGAATACATTAATATATATCAAATATATTAGAAGAAAAAAATAGCAATGATACTTTTCATATTTTTAAAATATACTTTCAAAATACCCATCATTCAATGTGTCAGGCGTTACAGAGTTAAAGACTATTACAGGTTGCAGCTGCATGTACCACTATCACACAGATTGGTTAATATCTACTGACCACAAACCTGCGACAGCTTGTTTTTGATGTACCTGCTAATTTTAGTGTACAACGATGTTGTTTCCCTTTACTAAGACTTTACCCAGTAGTGGATAAAAAATCTATTACAAAATAACCAACCAGCACTAATAATAGCAAAAGCTTTTTTAACTGTCTAGTTTGTTCCCATTAGACTGAGTGTGAAGCATTGAGTAGCAACACGAGAGCAAAAATAGTGTTTTGAAAGCAAAAAAACAAACAAAGATGCTATACATTTTACAGAGGTGCTGAGCGAATGTTTAAAGGAGGGGGGTGAGTCAACCTGTTACAGCAGCAGTCAGTTAGTCATTCACACAGACAGTCTTATCACTAAGAGAACAGAACATGAAAGCACTCGAAGCCCCGAATGAAAGAAAGGAGGATGGCTTTGTTCAACACATTATACTGCCACTCAAGGCAGTCTCAAGTTTCAACCAAATTGGATTACATTATTAGGTCTAATTACGTCCAGTGTGTTAGCAGCTCTCACATTTGTACACGCACACACTGTAAGGAAACATCGCATTGGCTTACACGTGGTATCGAGGAAGTTTGGGGTGCGCAACCAGATGCACGCAAATATTTGCAGCACAGGAGTCGACACAAAACACACAGGTGAATTAGAGTGTGTATCTGACTTGCGGGAAGATGAAACAAGCTTTAATGTAAGCATGCTGATAATGCATGAAATGCCTGGGCCGTCCCTGCATATCTAACATTATTAACCCTCTGCCTTCCTCCCCCCGGTCCTGGATTATTATTTTTTTACTCCTCACCTGGCTGTGTTTTATAACATCCTGTCTGGCCTCTTTGTCTGTCAGCTTCCTTGCTTAAACTGCAATCATGCTGCAAGGCTAGCAGATTCAACCCCAAAAGCTGCACGCAGACACACACAAACACACGCGTGCACACACACATGCACGCAAGCAAATGCATACTCGACGGCGTAGATGAAAAATGGCCCTTCTGTGCCCTGTTTGTATTTTTTCCAGAGTTTCTCTTGCTGATGCATGCACTATGTGTGCATGTGTGTGTCAGAGCTTTGTCAGACTATGTTAATATGCATGCGTGTGTGCCTGGGATGAATTTGTATATGTGTATGTGTGGGTGAAGAATGATGCGTGTCATCCAGAAAGCGAGAGGTTGTCGCAAGGGGAGTGTTAGTGTACTAAGACGACCCTGGCCCCGCTTTGAACTCCTCCTAGGACTGCTGTTGGGCCCCCTTGGAGCACTTTAAGACATCCAGCACAGACGGGTGAAGTCGCATCATGACAGCCTCTTTCTTTTTCTATCTCATTCTCTCCCGCGCGCGCAAACACGTTGCGAGGAGCTCAAAGTAAATATTTCATGAGGTGATGTGAACGACAGTGACATCCTCAAACGTCTTTCTGTGTTTCTCTCTTCGGCCCACCTCTGATCCCCCTGCTTTCGCTTTA